CTTAATATTGTTATATTCTGTTTGGGTTGTACAATTGAATTCTGATCACAAATGAAGTGAGTTCTGTGGCCAGCACATAGGCCTAGTTATTTCTGTATTTTTGACTGCATTAAGTTAATTTCAGATAAAATTAGTTAGTGCTGTGCCAAACTGTAGCTGCTTGAAATTGCTGAAATATCAAAGTTGCAACATAATGGGGAATGGCTTACCGCACCTTATTCAGCAACATAATATTGAATGCCTATATATGTCTAGCTAGGACCCAGTCCCGTCGTTAATTTAAAACAAGCCTGGGACTAAACTAGGATGGAGAGAGAGGAGCTTATTTCAGCTTTAATTAGGGCCCAGTTCTCCTGCACATACACTTTACACTAATTTAATGGTAGATTGTTTGTCTGTAAAGGCTGCAGGACAATGCATAGAGATTCCGAGCTCTTTTAAGGGAATCTGGAACTCTGTCCCTTTTTTACTTCTGCAGTGTGTAGAGACTGCTGGAGAGCACTGTGCCGTTGGGACAGCATATGCTGTATTTAGGTTTTTTTGGTACATAAAGATATAATGGAGAATATGAATTTGTAGTATTCTGAAGCAGAGCATCTATAACTTACTGAAGTGCTGAATCCTATTGAGGAAATGCTTGATAAGTCTAGGCCCCCAAGCAGATTATCACTGCACGTTTGGTCTTGTGACTTACTCAGATCCCTGGCTCACCAGTAGTTGTATTCATAGCTTACATCTTATCCTTCTTTTTAGCACCAAATTTGCTGCTTTTTCACACCGGTCTTGTTAGATCTTACTTTCAAAGGGACCTTAAAATCGTAGTTACATAGACAAGGTTCTAGGCAGTAATTTACTCTCTTTTAGTTAACCTTTGGTACAGCATTTTGAAGATGTGCAGTGCCCAGGAACTGTTCATGTTGTAAGTTGGTTGTCCCACAGAGCAATGCATGAAACAGGTCATCAGATACCTTCTCAACAAGGACAAATGCAAAGTACTCCACTTAGGAAGGAACAATCAGTTGCACACATACAAAATAGGAAATGACTGCCTACGAAAGAGGACTGCGGAAAGGGATTGGGGGGTATTAGTGGACCACAACCAAGTCAACAGTGTAACATTGTTGCAAAAAAAGTGAATATCATTCTGGGATGTATTAGCAGGAGTGTTGTAAGCAAGACACAAGTAATTCTTCTACTCCACTCCGCGCTGACTAAGCCTCAACTGGAGTATTGTGTCCAGTTATGGGCACAACATTTCAGGAAAGATGTGGACAAATTGGAGAAAGTCCAGAGCAACAAAAATGATTAAAAGTCTAGAAAACATGACCTATGAGGGAAGATTGAAAAAAATTGGGTTTGTTTAGTCTGGAAAAGAGAAGACTGAGAGGGGACATAACAGTTTTCAAGTACATAAAATGTTGTTATAAGGAGGAGGGAGAAAAATTGTTCTTAACCTCTGAGGATAGGACAAGAAGCAATAGGCTTAAATTGCAGCAAGGGAGGTTTAAGTTGGACATTAGGAAAAACCTTTTAACTGCCAGGGTGGTTATGCACAGGAATAAATTGCCTAGGAAGGTTGTGGAATCTCCATCACTGAAGATTTTTAAGAGCAGGTTAGACAAACACTTGTCAGGGATGGTCTATATAATACTTAGTCCTGCTATGAGTGCAGGGGGCTGGACTAGATGACCTCTTGAGGTCTGTTCCAGTCCTATGATTCTCAGCCCATCTGAGAGAAGTGTGTGTGTTTGTTTTGTTTGTTTTGTTTGTTTTGTTTGTTTTGTTTGTTTTCCCCCCTTCACTCGGGCCAATGAGTTGTAATTGGGGTAATTTCACTTTCACATTTTTTTCATAGATTTTAATAAGAGACCATTCCATCATCTAGCCTGACCTGTATAACACAGGCCAAAAGAATGTCACCCAATTAGTCATCTGTTGTGCCCAATAACTTGTTTGACTAAAGCATATCTTGCAGAAAGGCATCCAGTCTTGACTGGAAGCCATGAAGAGATGGAAAATCCACCACTTCCCTTGTAAGTTTATTCCAATGAATGACCACTGTCACTTAATATCTTCTTTTTTTTTTTTTTTTTTAAACACCTTATTTCTAACTCCAGCTTCTGTGGTTTTAACTTCCGTTGGTTCTTGCTATGCCTTAAAAAGTACCCAGTATTTTTCCCCTGAGAAGGTACTCGCACCCTCTAATCAAGTCCTTTCTCAATCTTTTTGTGCACTTGTTTGTGAGCTTTACAACATACTCGGTCAGAAACAGCTCATCACAGCCACTTTGGTGTCTTTATTTTCCAGGATCGGATGTGGACTTGACCGTCTGGAATGGGATAAGGTTTCAGCGCTACTTGAGGAAGTGTTTGAGGACACGGACATTAAGATCACCGTTTATGCTCTCTGAACAAAGAGGCCTTATGGAGATGATTGTTGATTTCCCTTGCTGTAGAGTCAGGTGGCTTGGGAATTGATTTAGAGAAAAAGCTGTGTGTGAAGCAGAGCCCATCTCCTCTTTGAGGAATAATTTACCATTAGGTTTTTCCCAATGGCAGGCAGTTGCTTCAAGAGAACCGGCTGGTTTGGAATGTGTTGATCAGAGTTCCAGAATGAAGTATCTAGTATAAACCTTCAGGGTTATATATATCCCTCAGGGATCCTTGCCTGTGAGTCACATAGCCAACCACCAGATGTCACTGTTCCTCCACCCTTCAGAATACCCATCTGCTTGTAAAGAAATCTTTTCTTACCGTGGTGGTTTGTGTGTGGAAGTTTTGAGCTAGTTTGGCACTTTTTAAAATATTCCAAATCTTTGAATTTAAGAGTTATATGTATCTGTTTATTGTGTTGTTTCAGATAATGAAGTGAATAATTGTGGAGATCTGCTATTTAATTTAAAACAGTACAGTGTTCAGCTCAGATGTGCAGATTTCCTTTGTTCTTTTAGTTATTAAAAATTAAAGTATTATCTTTTCAAAACATAAGTGAGGTTTCCTGCTTTTATCAGGAGTGTGTCTCTTAAGCATCATGCTATAAAGTCTCAAGTACATACCTTTTTAACTCTTGCTATTGAACCAGAGTGCAACCCCTGTGTAAACCCAACTATGTTCACATTTCTCTCTGCCTTCTATATGAAGGCTGAACCTCTCAAGGGAACATAAGTGTATGGGGCAAAGATTCCTAGGAGGTTCATTTTCCCCCACATAGTTGGTACAAGTATCAGCATGCAAGTGTTCTGAGAGACCACATATGAATGGGCTAGTATGATATAAAGTGGGCTTAGCATTAAATGCATGTATAGGTTTTCATCTTTACTTTTCATCTAAGGTATTTATAGACTGCTAGTCATTGTGGGGTCTAAGTGTCATTCTGTTTCTACATCTGGCATTGCTAAACAGCAATGAACAAATCATTAATAAATAGCATATTGAATCTAGCAGGCCAGCAAAAGGTAGTCCATTACTTTGTGGTGGTCAGTAAACTTCAGATGGAACATTGTTTGTTTTTTTTCTTCCCCCTTCACATCCTTACAATAACTTACCAGGTCTCTTTCTGCAGCATTTGGTTCAAAGGTGATAATTCTGCTGATTTTAGAACCTTGTGCTGAAGTGCTCTACCATATACTCTTGTAGTATGTTTTTTGCTTCCGATCTTGTCCACAGTGACTAATCTGATTTATTTTTAGGATGCCCATTACTATAGTAACTGAGTGCCGGAGTATAGGAATTCTAGCATAAAGTAGAATCCCTAATATCTTCTTTTTATCCATGTAATATATGTAAACCCTTCTCTATTCAGAAGCTACTAACTGCTTGTGTTGTGTGGGATCTTTTGCATAATTGATGGAGCTCTGCAAATCCCCTTCTCTAATCTTTAAAGGCCTCATGTTGTTACTCTCCTCCTTTTCAGTTGAAAATGATTGAATCTTTGCAGATCATGAATATCACTCTTTAATTTGTTAGAGGGGTCGCAACTGGGTGATTCTGTCCTTCCACTCTTGTGTGTATTTGTAACACCTTAAAAACGCAAAGCCCACATGATTTGTTGACTGCCCTTTTGTCCCTTGTAAAGTTGTTTTTGGTGTATAATTGCTGTAGCCAAACAAGGAAATAACTTTTTAAAGGATTGAGTTCGACAAATAGAAGCTTGGAATATTGGATCTGTAAACAAGCATAAATATGTACCAAAAATATGTGCATGGATTTAGGTTTTTGTATCTTATTTATATTTGTTGTCTAAATCTGGTAACAAACACAAACAGTAAATCAATAGCAACTATTTTTGTCTGCTCTGAACGTTGATGGTTTCTTATCACTATTCATGGCCTTTGTATTGAAGGCTTTGGCTAGGGTTTGGTGCCAGTGGGACACTGACATGTAAAACTGTTGGCCATACTTGTATTTTCCTCCTCTCTTACCTTCCTATGGTCTGCTGTTCCTTTTGATATTGCTTGGTGCTGTTGATACAGAAACGACAGTGAGTCAGAAATTTAGCTGGAAGTGTGAACCCCATGTGATTTCAGCATCTTGGCTGACCAGCTTCCCTGTGGACTTTCCACCCATTCTGTGTAGGCTTTATCTGAGATGTCACATGCCCAGATTTTTCTCTCTGTTCATCTCACACTCATGCTGGTTCTTGAAATTTCTTTGTACCTGGGAATTCCCCCTTCCTGTTGCACTGTACTATCTCAAGTGTGAAACATTTCATGGATGGGTTGTAAGGCCATGGTTCTTCCCTGTCAGATTAAATGTAGTAGCCCCTGTGTGGAGAAAGAGATGGGGGCAGATTCACGGCTGCTGTGAGTTTCTGCAGTGGCTACCAATTTATTTAACTCCTTTGCCCTTCCCAGTTTTATAGCATGAGCATCTCATAGGCCAAGGGGAGAAGACAAATACTTGAGGCATTCAGAATGTCACCAGAAGGCTCCAGCATATTGCCTGTAACTGTCTAGAACTGTTAGCCCCAGCCCCCACATTGATCTCTGGATTATCTGTACATGGTGGAAAATGAATAATTTTATTTTCTATATATCTGTGTTTTTGTCTTTGAAAAAGGTCCTCAGCATTTATAAGACATACACTTAATCAATTCATTTATCGAATTTGCAGCCTTGATCTAAGGTGAGGTTTTTTTTACTCTAAAGCTGCCCCAATATGTGGGGCCTGCTCTCTCTCCTCTCGATCCACTGAAGTCCATTGCATTCATGTCGTTAAGCACAGCACACAGCCTTCTCCTGTCCTGTTAACAAAGACAGTACAAGTTTATTTTAAAAATTAAACAAAATGTCTAAATGCTACATGGTAAATGTAGTCTGAGTCCATCAGGGCCATGTCTGCTAAAGGTTTTTGTTGCATCCTGCCTGACTCAAAGCAGCTCTGAAAAGCTGAAGGCGTGACACAGATGTCCAAGTCTGTCATGCCTGTCTCTCCGCTGGTTGACAGATCTCTTACAAGCTGGCCCTGGAGAGATGAGAGAGAGACATGTTACCAGCTTCCGATGTTTCCGGGCTTTGTTGCTCAAAATTAGTTATGGACTCCTCAATCTTTGTGTATGGCAGAAGGGAAGATATACTATAATATACCTCCTTTGATATTTTTCTAGGGGACTAGAACCACTACGGCCTCTTCTTTCCAGTTCCATTAGATGTGCAAACATCATCCACCTAGATAAGAATGGAACGTTCTTGCTATATCTAATGACACTCCCCTTTGTTTCCTAATGAAAAGGTGATTTGGGGCGGAGGGGTGACATTCCTAGAGGTACTGACAAGTCCCTGCGAGAAAGAGAGCTCAGTATGCCTCTACATGCCCTATAGTGGGGAAGATCACACTAATGGATTGCTAGCTGCAGTGGGTAAGGTACTACTAAGGCAAAGTTCACGATGCTCATGTACTGTCAGACCTAGGCAGAGCTGGAGTCACAGATGGCAGTGACAGTACCCTTAAAAGCCTCTATTTCTGGCTTAAGACATACAGAAACAGAGATGAGTCTGTCCACCATTAAAGCAAGAAGCTAAATGAGCAAACTGAAATCCTCACTGGCATGCGCCTCAGTGCAAAACCTCTGATAACTTCTCTTCGTAATACAGGAAGTTCTCTTGAATGTCCTCCCAGGGCTCGAAGGCCTTTGCCTCTCCTTCTTCCTGCTCCGCAAAGTTCTGCCAGATATACTCAAAGTCTTGAGGCTTCATAATCTTCAGTTTGCATCCAGAAGCCTTCAGTTTCTTCAGGGCGGCCTGCATCTCCGGCTCCTCCCACATGAAGAGGCGGCTTACCAGGATGGAGAGGCGCAGGTTCTTGTTCTTCTGCAGTATCTGTGCTATCCGGTCAGCACAGGGCACACAGGGGCTGGAGGACACATACCAGGTGACGTTGTAGCGTAGGTTGGGATCGCACGTGGGCAAGATGTTATTGAAGAAAGCATCTTCAGCATGGACTGCTGCATGCTCATCCTCCAGGTAACCCCGAAAGCTCCCTGACTCTTTGCCTTGGGTCTCCACAACATAACATAGGAAGGTCTTGTTCCTGCCTGAGCTGTATTCCACATTTCTGAACTGGAATTTGAAAAAGAAGGCTGGGAAGCGCTCCCTATGGAGAGGGGAAGAGCAAGAGAAATGCCTTAGTGTTATAATGTATCCTATAATAACACATAGCCTTTCAACAGCAGCTCTCAACCAGAGATCTTTACAAATGTTAGTCAAGCCTCACACCCTCCCTGCCACCCTGAGAGTGGAAATATAAGTACCATATTTTACTGATGGGGAAAACAAGTCAAAGACCTTATGACTTGCGCAAGGCTCCCAACCAGTCAGTAGCAGAAATGGAATGGAGAATTAGGGCACTGGACAGGAACTCAGAAGGCCTGGGTTCAGTTCCTCAGCTCAGCCACAGACTTCCTGTGTGATCTTGGGCAACTCACTTAATCTACCACGTGGCTTGGTTCTTCACCTGCAAACTAGGGACTATACCTCCTACCTCCCTGGGTGCTGTAAAGATTAAAAATTAATTGTTGTGAGGTGCTCAGATAGTTTAGTCATTAAGGCCATGTAATTACATAGATAGGAATAGAAGCTTGGAGTTCTGGCTCCCAGCCCCATATTGTCTCTGCCTGGCTTCTTTGGGTTATGTTGGTTGCATCTATCCACACTGCAAATATCGGTATATTCGCTATTAGAGTATTTCAAGACTGCTCGGCACAAGGAGTGACTTTCTTTAAGCTACTTCGGCGTGTTATTTGAATATGTCTATTTTTTACTGCTGCAGGAAGCAGGAAAATGACTTCCCTGGACACGGGTCTGCTAGAGCACTTCAGATCTGAGCTGCACACCTCCCATTCCAATGTGAAGCCCCTCCACAGCTCTGCTAGTGCCCTTTAATGGTAGTCTACAGTACCCTTAGAGTCCAGAACTCTGGTCTATCAACTCTCCTCCATCTAGATTGACGCTCTTCTGAACAGCGGCAGATGACTGGCTAGTACTAGCATATAAATGGCAAGCTTCTGCACACACAGATACAAGCGTACTTCAGTCCTGGCGGTTAGCCTGCTGTTCTAGTTCTGGTCCTCTAACATCAAATGTGTTGTGGTTTTGTTGAATGCGGATATAGGAGACTAAATCTAGCCCTGGTATAAATCGGTGCATCTCCCCCTGCAGTCATTGTGAACTGTTCCTCCCCTGGTTTCCAAATGAATCTAATCTCAGTGATTTGTCACCTCTGAGATGAATTTGCTTGTGGTCTTTTTCCAGATCGGGATGTTTAGGGGAGTTATATTTAGTTCCCTAAAACCCTGCAGCCCTGGTACCTCTGACACTTACCATTTAAGAGGGGAGGGATGACATTCAAGATGTGACTGTGACCACCTGCTTGGGACCCCATTTTGCTAAGGGCTTACATACACCCAGTCAAATGACAGCCCAAACCCTGAATGTTTTATAATGTAACTTAAAGTTCTAGGGCTGCAGTTCAAATAGTGTGGTTCACATTTCCCAATGGTGCTGCTCCGCAGGGTTAGCAACAGTGTGAACTCTGCTATATACTGGCTGCAGGGGGTTAGGGCACTGTGTCCTCGAATCCTGCTCAGAGCCAGTCTGCGCAACACCGTGGTTAAAATGGTGGTGGCTGCCAATGAGGTGTCTGTTGCAAGCGCTGGTGGTACTGCCTCAGCGTGAAGAAAAATAGTCAGGTAGACAAGGCCTCTCCATTTTGACTGAGGAGCAAACACTTCCTACTGTGTTGAAGATGCTTTGGTGACAGGGCAATCATAGAGTATTATAAATATAGTACTGCCGAATAGTACGAGGCCAAGCACAAGCTGGGAAATGTGTAGAACACACAGGGCTTTGATTCTAGTATTGAAAACTGGTGAATATATTTTCATTCAAAATATGAGTAAACAGGAAGAACACTTAAGTCTAGTGCCCCTTGGAGTCAATAGAAAGGTTCCCTCTGACTTCAGTAGACTTTGAATTAGGCCTTCATTGCCTATTTTCATGTGTAATCCAAAAGAAAGGGCCAAAAGGATCAAGGGCTTGTCTAGAAATTTGCACTGATGCAGTTATACCAGTTCAGATGTCTAATGTAGATACACTGCCCAAGTGCAAGTTCTGTTGCAATGTGTCTGCATTAGGAGTTTTCACTAATACATATCATTGCAAATTTCCATAATCTAAGCAAGCCCTAACAGACAAGCAAAGTGACCATCAACATTTCTCCTCTTGGCAATACTTTCTCTTTCTTTCCCCCTAAGAAGATGTAAAGGTACCTTTGTAAGTGAATGGCAAAACTCCCACTGACTTCATTAGGATTAGGAGCAGGATCAGACCATTGTGCTTCCCTTGCATGGACTGGGTGAAAGTCCTACTCTCTCATTCCTTGAGTCTAAGAAATTGACATTTGTTTGGTAACAGCCAACTTCATGAATTTACCTCTGAGATAATTAGTCACTCCTTTTAAAAATCAAAAGGTTCCACCTAGCACAAGCTATCCTCCCCTTGTTTCAAAGGCAGGTTTGCAAAGCCACAAGGAATTATTACATTTTTTAAATAAATATATAACAGATATAATAGTCACCTACACATTCATCCCTGATGTAATTCTGCTGACTTCAGTGGAGTTACAGGAGGGGTGAATTATCTCTTTATCTTTTAATGAGTCATTTAATCTGTGAGAGACAGATCCAAAAGCTCTTAAAGTCAATGCAAAGACTCCTATTGACTTCAGAGTGCATTAAATCAGGGCCTCCAACCAGACCTTACATAAAATCTCTTCCCTATCACGTACTAGGCTGGCTGGGATTACCTGGGATGTTAAAGCAAATCTGTTTTCCTGGCAATGTGGAATATACACTAGATCACTTTATTTCCAGTAAAGAAGCCTGTAAACAAACCTAAAGAGACTATCCAAGATTGTTCATGGTTGGCTGAGATCTCGGAAACCCTTGCTCATCATGGGTGCGGAGAGTACTAATTAATGAAAAGGGATTGGTTTAAGCCCATCTCGGTCAGAGCAGTGTGGATATTCCAGCACAAGTATGTCAGTTAAACATCTGCAGTGGGAGAACTTAAGTGCTTGTCACAGGACTTGCAGTCCCTGTTCTCAGCAATCAAAAACTGTACCAGGTGTCTCTGACCCCCTATGGCTGTGATATCTATTAGCAAGTGATTCAGCAGGAAAAGAGAAAACCACATGTACCAAAAGATTGCACACGCTTTGGACCTGTGCCTGTGTGTGGTCTGACCTTTGAGCATTTCAGTCACTCATAATAATAAGTAATTATGATACTTTGCACTTCTATAGCATCATTCATCTGAGGAGGTTACAGCACTTTACAAACAATTTGTTAAGCCTCACAATTCAACTCTGAAGTAGCTAAGTAAAGGGGCCTAATGGTAAAGAAGTGGCTGGTTCTCAGGAGACCTGGGTTCTAGTTCTAGCCATGATACTAAGTTGCTGTGTGACAATGAACAAGTTATTAAACCTCTCTAGGCATCAGTTTCCCCGTGTGTAAAATGAGGATGATCCTATGTATCCATTTTTGAATGAAAGGTGTTGTATAAATGTTGTTATGCCCATTTTACAGATGGGGAAAGCGAAGGGCTCTTGCTTCAAGGTCACATAGAATGTCAGTGGCCGAACCAACCACTAGAACCTAGGAGCTATGGTCTCTGGTTATGTAGGGCCTACACAAAAGCAATGTTTCATGCTCCCTTCACTGGCTCTGTAGCAGCCATTCAGTAACAAACAACTGTGTGGGGCTCATTGATGACAACGGTGCAAGGACTCTCAGATACTGCTCTGTCATGACTGGAGCCTACCACAACCAAGGGAAAGGGGAAGAATTTGCCACTGCATTTCTGTGCTATAGGGATTCTCATTTTCTTCCCAGAGGAATGTAGTGTAAATTAATAGATCAATTTGAATCCCATGAAGTTTACACAGCTGGGCTGAATCTGGCTGTAACATTGAGAAAAGGGTTTTAATGTTCTTAAGTGTAAAGAGCAAATCAGGTTGCCAGCCCCATTTGCAAAGCACAGACTTCTTGGGGCTGCGGGCAGCAGCATCAAACACTTGGCAAGGATCATAAAATGTCCCTAATCCAAGGTCGACAATTGAAATGCTTGAACTTTACACAGTGTAATTGAGCACACGCGTTGGGGCATTTGGAGTTGTAAATTCTCTCATTAGCCGAATAACTGGCGCTCTCTGCTGAAATTTTATAAATAACTAGAAAATTCAAACTGGGATCACATCCAACAAAGACACAGAGAAAGAGATTCCCATCGGCAGTCCCAGGACTTCCAAATACAATATCTTAATATGGGCACTGCTTAAACATTAGGGTAAATTTGCTGGATTTTTCAGTTTCTTCTTGAGCATCCTCTGTGATCTCCCTGTTTTCTTTCTTTGCTTTCCCACATCTCACCCTTAGGAGCCCAGCACATCAATAATAATCCCAGGTAGACATATCTTCTGCTGGACCTCGTCGGACAGCAAAAGGCAGATCTTTGGGACCAATCCTCAAATAGTACAGTGATTAGTAAGGTATAAATACCTTGAGTTTTATGGTCTTAGCTCAGTTCCTAGTGGATGCCCAGTTCCCCGTCCACATCATAAAAGCCACTCTAACAGCTGGCACCAATTGTTCCATTTGTTGTCAGTCTCAGTACAGAGGCCAAGGAGTGAAAGACCTTTGGTCTCATGATCTCACCCTGAGAGCTGGTCTCCAGAACAGAGATGAGACACACTGGTGGAGGCGTGTTGGGGAAACTTTCACCATTCTTGTCCAAAGTTTACCCCTCCTGGGGATAGTAATGGACAGAGGATAGTCCCCAAGAAGGGCAATCCAGCTAGGGTTGCCAACCCTGCAGGATTGGCCTGGAGTCTCCCGGAATCCTCATCCATCTCCCGGTGACTATTGAAAGCAATCCAGGAGATTTTAGTAGGATATTTTAAGAAAATGACATTATATCATGTTGGGGGGGGAGGGGGAGGGAATCTCCCGGAATAGCTTCAGTCAGAGTTGGTAAACCTAAATCCAGCACCTCTGACTGGGCCTCTGTAACAGCCATGCAACATCACAGAAATAAAAAAGTGTTGTTGAAGCCACAGGGCCAGATTCTGCCTTGCCACACACCTTGCACAATAAGTTCACCAGTGCAAAATGGGTGTAAATCAGAATGGTAGCATTGTACGCCCACTCAGCATTCACTTTGTGCAGGTGAATACCATGACACTGGGTAGGATTTTCAGAGACACTCCGCATTGGCCCAACTCTGCTTTCATTGAAGACAATGGTATTGACTTGAAAATCCTACCAAGGGCAAGACAGTGGAGAATCGGGTCCCAAATGTGGCTCGCTATTTTTAAACCACCAAAAATGACAAAAGACTTTTAAAAGAGATTGTGAGAACAGAAAACAAAATTATTCTCAGGTGAAATCCAGAGAGAAAAACAAGTATTAGAATTTGGGGACGGAACAATTTAATGTAATTATTTTTATCAGAATATCCATTATAGGCAGCAAAGTGACAAGTCAAAATGGCATCTTGTTACTCAACGTGTTTGCTCGCTGTGTGTCTTTGAATCACATCTGCTGATTTTTTGGACCAAAAGCTTTCACTCACTTTAGCCCTATGTGGAGGCAATACAGCTAGGGGGGAGAGAGCTGGAGTATATCCTGCCTTATGCATCATCATCAGAATTGCCAGCTGAGTTCTGACTGTAGAATCTTTCTTATTAGTGATGATGTAACAGGCAGAAAGGCCACAGCTGGATTTTCAGTTCCTGGATTGAAGTCTGTGTTAAAGGCTGCTGGAAAATAATCACATTTTAGTTTATTAATTGAGCACGTAGACTTGGCGACCTTGGGAGACAATAAATACAGAGCTTGACCATAACATTTTTATAATGGCATGTTTCTGGTTAAGCCACACTTTAAATTATGTATGGTTACATCTAGATAGTACAGTGACTGGCATATTAGAAATGCTTAGGGATGGTAGATTAGACAGACAGATTTTCCTAGCCACGCCTTTCCCTCATATATTATTAATGTATAATCATTTGTCCATTGATTAATCATCATTCCATGCTTGTATTAGCTGTATGGTTTATTGGATTGGGATCTTATAAGGAGCCTCTTGTAGGCTGTGCTTTTCAGAAGGGCTCAACACTCAGAACGTGAGCCAGATTTCCCATAGAGCTCATCACCCATTTAGACTCCTAAATAAGTGGCCAGATTTCTAAAAGACCCCCACGTCCAACATGCTGAGCTGTTTGGAAAATCTGGCCCTCAGTGTCCCAGTGGGCGCTGCTGAGTCAGTGCTTTAATTTGTGCCAGGCTGGGCAGTTCATAATCATGCCACCTCTGGCCTTGCTGCATCAATTATGAATGTAAAAAAATGGCTTGAGGCCCGGCACCTCTTTCATTACAAATTAAGCACTGTGCTGAGTACTTTTGAAAACTGACTGATGATCTGGTAGCTAAATGTGGGCTGGGCTCTTTTGACAGTCTGGCCCCAGGGGTGGGTGATGAGCCCTAGAAAATCTGACCCCTGAGCTCATCTGAAAATCTAGCCCGTATGATCCATAACACGGGCACAACACAGCAGTGAGTATTTTTCAGGGCTGATTCTAGGGTCCCATTATTGGGGGAACAAGTGGGTATTCTGGGTCCCTATTTAAAAAACAAACAACCTTCTAGGAGTCATGGGGCTTGGTGGATTTTAAGAGTTTAAAAAGTAAAATTTGGCTGCCGGGCCAGTATTTTGCTGTGATTTATAATTTATATAAAGGATGAAGGCTCTCCAATCTGTGGCTGTTCCACTGCTTAACACTGGATAACTTTGTGCATATTTTGGCCTTTCTGACAATAATGTGGAGCCCTTGAAGATTGTTTGGGGAGGGTGGGTGTTGGGGAAGCTCTCACCACTGTTGTCCAGAATCTACCACTCCTGTGGATACTAATGGACAGAGGATAGTCCCCAAGAAGGGCAATCCAGCACCTCTGACTGGGCCTCCGTAACAACCGTGCTACTCTGCTAAAGTAATAGTCTCCTTTGCTTGCCCTTCTCTACCCACACCATTAGCACTGGGGCTGGTATTTTTCCTAACCCAGCAACAGAGGAACTTGCAAACAAGACCCCTTCAAGAAATCAATATTTCAGTATTCTTCAAGGGCCCAATTCTTCCACCCTTACACCAAGTAGTACCTTACTTGACGAGTGATCCCTCTGAAACCAGTGGGACTACTTGCATGTTAAGTGACTTGTCAGCATTGGCAAGAGAGAATTGGTAGAATCAGGCCCATAAATGGATCCAGTGAGTTACAAGCTGATTTGAATCCATCCTACACCTAGGCAGTGAAACTCTCTTCACCAGGCAACTTCACCCTAGCTACAAGTTCAGCTGTAGGAAGAATTGCAACCTGCACAATATAAACAAAGTTCAAAAAATCCCTTTCCAGACTTGCACTGGCCCCAGATTTCATCCTTATTTAACCAACATTAAAACTTCAGGCAGAGACCTCACCCTGGACAGACTGTGTGAGGAGCCAAGTGGAAATGAGTCATCCTGGCTTTCTTTACTCACTGCCTCTTTAAAACTAAACTCTGTGCACCAATCTCTCTTACCCTCCCACGATTTCAAAGGGCGGCAGTTTCTCCAGTTCCTTCTTCTTCTCCCCAGACTCCTCTGCATTTTCAGGCTGCTCCTCACCAGTCTGGGTGTCGCTGGGCTCCTGGTTTTCAGCCATCCTCTTGGGTGCTGGTGCACCGGGTTCAGACCACGAGGAAAGAGAGGGAGCAATTTTTTGAGACCGGTGCAGGGAGCAGAGACGGGAAAGAGAGAGAAAAAAGGGAGTTGGGAGTTCCAGTCCTAGACGCAGTTGTCGGGAGCTAAATATGGAACAACGCTGCAGTGACACTGACTGGACGGGGTGGTAGAATGATCCGACAACTCTCAGATATCATCACCCTCCCTCGCTTTTGCGAAGGCCTTTTATCAATCTCTCTCACTCCCCTTTTGCCTTTAAAACAAAGTGAGGAATTCACTGTGGGCGGGTTAGGGCATGGATGGAAAACCCAGGAAGCAGAAGTCACCTATTTATCCACAGGCAGGACAGAAACCTGGCAGGCTGCAGGATTGGCCACTTCCCCACCTGCCCTGATTTGCCCACATTCTATCATCCTGCCCTTGAGAAAACACGCTTCTAGAGTGGGCAGGAAGGAGCAGGAAGTGTCCCCGATTTGTTTTATTTAACGATCACCCTGGATAATGGATGAGGCTGAGCCATGCTTCAATGAGGCCCCCTGCAGACATTACAGCTGGAGCCCTCACAAGAACCTGAAAATTACACCCTTTGCAAACCATCCTTCTGTGAAGCGGGCACTGAAAGACGGGGATCCAACAGGAGCGAAATCCTAGTCCCCCATCAAAGCCAACGGCACAATCTCCCCACTGATGTCAAAGGGTCCAGAATTTCACCCCAGCTGTATTAAAATCAGCCGTGTACAGTTACACAGCAAGGAAATATTTGGGGTGTGGGACTGTGCCAGATTACACCAGCTCAGGGATCTGGTCCTTGTTCCCTACATTTCTCTCTCCTTAGACTGTAAACTACTTGGGGCAGGGACCATTCCTTCTTGGATGCGTGGAAATCACACTGCAAACAAATGATAAATAATAATTAAAAGACTCCTGCTTCTCAGTTATTCCTTGGTTTGTTTACACCACCTTTGCGGTCGCCGTGGGTGCAAACACCGAATCAGTAATTGCATCGGGTGGAAGGCAGTCTAGAGACTGGAAGTGGGAGCCTATGGTGGGGTTGAGGATCAGGTTGGAGTTTGTGTGTGGGCCCAGGAGGTTGTACAGTACTAGGATCAGGAGTAAGCAGCAGTGGGATTGGGAAGTGGGGTCTAGGACTGTGTGGGAGGTAGAGTATGGGATTGTTCAAGAGAAGTTCTGAGGTGGTGTTTACTGTATTTTGCCTGAACCAAGTTAGCATGGAATCCAGCTATCCTAAAAAGACCATGTAGAATAGCATTAGGGGGTCTATAAAGTTTTTATTGATAAAAGTTTGGGATGTCTGTATTGCTCTGCAAAAGTGGGGAACCCAGGGCTTGTTTGGGTTTCTTATGACCTCTAGAAAGGTTTATTTTTTTGTTGAGGATGGCGTGAAATGTATCCAAATTTCACAAAAACATCTCATTCTGAATTTAAAGGGAAAATTGATGCAAATCCCAGGTGCTTCTAACTTAATGGAGTTTCCTGGCGTGCCTCTAGGTTAAAAATAAATAAGAAGCATGTAGCTGCTCTGAATTCACATTTTACTCCTCCAAAGCCAATTGGAAATCAAACCTCCAGCATCTTGACTGCTGTGCTAAAGGTAGAACCCATGATGACTGAGATTCAGCCAACCAAGCTATTAAATATTAGCTCTGTATTCAAGGAGTAAGTACTGTAAATTTGGGGAGGATACATTAAATTCTTCATATATATCAAAGAGTCTGAATTTCTGTTTTCAGTGCAAAACTTAATTCAGCTTTAACTATGGTGTTGCATTCAGTGCCTCTATAATTTGATAGTGCCCCGCATCATGATGGATTTGGATCATTCACACTTGTTCAGTTGTACAGTTATTTTTTCTTATTGCACATTGTTCAGTTTTTGTCCCTTTACTAACAATGATCTTTCCTTTCTATAGCATCTCAAAGAATCCCAAGGGTCTTCCCAACTCCCCACATGCTGCTCCACTGAAATGCAGCTACTTCTGGGCCAGAGAACAGCAACCACCGTGCTGCACCAACACTGTTTGCTGAAACCTGGTGAGCGGTAGTTGTTTATTTGATGTCTAACACTTCTGGGGTGGATTGTATTGTGACAACAGGACAGTAAGGGATTTGAGAAGTTCTGAGACAGTCTGTCCAAGGGATATATATAATTTTTCCTATGCTTTTAAAGCTTGGAATACTTTCCTTGGCTAGAGGGTAGAGTATTGTTTTTCCTCTTGACTGGTAACTATGTTCAAATTCCAGATCCCTTGTCCAGTCATTCTCACCTTTGACATTTTGGGGAGTGATTTTGGGGATGGGAATCCTCAGCTGATGAGTGACTGCTCTTTCCTTTTCTCCTCCCACCCTCCAAAAAAAAAATCCCATCTTCTCTTGTATCCCCCGACCCACTGTCTCTATTTCTGGAAGCTCTCAACAGCTACATTAATCATGGTGCCACTACTCTTGCAGCCGTTAGCTTTCACTGGCCCAGCCAAACTGCAAAGATCAATGCGAGCTCTCATCTAATCTCCGGAATGTGCTGCTGAGAGTCTGGTTCCATCCAGTCTTGCCCCAGCTGCTGCGCAGTTCCATCTAGGGCAGTGCCCTAAGTATTCACAACCCCCACCAGTCTGTGCTTGGGCCAAATATGTAAAGGAATGCCAGAGAGATGCTGTCAGTCTGACATTTGCATTAGAACTGTAGGGGGAAAAGCATCCATCGGTCTGGTCCAGGCTTTTTGACCAAAGGATAGCTCCCCAAAAGCATGTGTGTGTGTGTACGTGTGTATGGGTGTGTGCCTAGTGACTGCACATAGTAATGTCGTGCTCTGCACAGCAATTTATTTTTCCTTCAGCTAGTCAAGACAGGGAGACTTGGGCCTGGGTCCAGCAGAGGTGCCGGATGTGCAGTTATTGTCATGACAGTCTGGAGTAACAGGGAACACTGCAGGTCAAGGAGGAGGCACACAGGCAGAGCTGTGGGAAGTAGAGGCCAGGACAGGGAATGGTTGCTGGAAGAGGGGACACTAAGGTGACATCCAGTTCTGGATAGCAATTAGAGATTTGATCCTTTTAGCTTTTGTGGGTTTTGTCTCAGACTTTTAGAGCTTTACCATTAACTTCAATGGGAGCAGGATCAGTCCCTTAAATTCATCTGTGACAAACAAAATTCTTTGTCTTTTTTTCCGGTGTATTAATATCTTATGTGGGGGAAAATATAATAAAACACACCCAAACCCTTTGACTTTTCTCCCATTCAGATCCTTTGTCAGTAGCCTTCTAATCATGAACATTTATTTTCTGAGGTTAAAATGTGTGCACGTGGCTTTTATCCTGTGGTGAGCACACAGGGGGCATCAGCTACCAATGCTGAAGCCTCCATTCCAGAGGGATACTCGCAAAGGGCCAATTCACCTATCAGTGAGCAGAGGGTTATCCATTTGCATTAATAGGAGTCAGGTGCTAAGGGTTTTGTGTCATATTTGCAAGAAATGTGAGAGAGCAAAGGAGCCATATGTCAGATCAGACCTTTGGTCCATAACTCCAGTATCCTATCTCTGGCAGTGGCCAACATCTGATGTTTAAGCGGTAAACAGCTTCCCCCTCCACACACATAATGCAGCTGGCCAGTTGTGCAATGCCATGCAATTTCCTTCCTGACTTCAAGCCAGGGATCAGTTTATGCCCTGAAGCATGAGATTTAGTTGCTAGAATTTTAGTTGCGTAATTACAAATCTATTTTTAATCTGATCATAACATTATCCAGCATTTTGAAGGGGGATTCAGGAGTCTAGGAATGGAGTAGAAGAGACCTAGCTGCAAAGAAGAATCTTGCTAGGGAGTCCATTGTATTCCTAGGCCAGAGAAACATTTTTTGGCCAGATCCAAGAGTGAAATAAGACACTGGCTGTATTAGTCATAGCTGGGACGTGCTCTTTATTCCAAGGTGACAGCTGATGGCAGTAACAAAACATCTCCCTGGATACATTGTTTGGCAGTGATCCTCCTCCTATTTTTCCAGCTGTAACTACCGTTACCCGATAAATAAATAACCCCCCCACCGACAGTGATGTGCAGAGCCAGCTTTCCTTCTCTCAGCCCCCTTGGCCCATCAGCTGCTGTTCCCTCCCCTCTGTGGGACCATGTCTCATACTGCAAAGATTTCCGAGGGGTCCTTGCCATAGATATAGTCGAAAGGTAGGGATAGGTAGAGAGATTGGGGGGAAAGAGGAGGAAGTGTTTCCCCCTATAAAACCTTTTAGCTTTGTGCAAGAAGCTGGTCCCAGTGCATTTCTTTGTCTCCACACCAGACAACTGGTGGTAATTGTCTCCCTGGTTGAGAGTCTCAGGAGAGAAGCCAAGATTTGAATCTAATCTTATCTATTGTCATTTTGATATTGTGCCTATCACCATGTTATCTAGGCATTATATAAAAACCTTAGATAGATAGATAGATAGATAGATAGATAGATAGATTAGATTAGATAGATAGCACTGGTGTTGTCAATGCTGTACTTGTTGGACCATGTTCTGCTCTCAGGTAGGAAGATGCAACTCCCTGTAGTTTCAAAGAAGTTGCACTCATGTAGCTGAGAGCAGAATTTGATCCTTTCTACAGATGCACAGATAGAGTACTTCAATCTCCAGGGATGTCTATTCCATTGCAGGCTTGGAAGGATTAATTTTTTATTGGTTAACCCCAATTTCACTATACACACACAAACCAATGAAAAAATTGCCATCAATAATCATTGAAATTTACAGATCAACAGAGTAAGAAAAATGCTGCTTGAGATCTTATTAGTTTAAGGATATTTGTACGTTTTGACATGTGACGGTGACAATTTGTGTTTTAATGGCTATAAAGCTTTAACTTTCTGAATCTTGTATACAGCCATTAAATAATTATTGTCCGACCCCCCCCCCATTTTCTGACTCCCCCAATAATTTCCCCCAACTGTGAAAATTGAAATTCATAAACATTTTAAAAATGCTTAAAACCCAGACATTTGTGCAGCTGTGAAAATGTAAATTGATAAAAATTGGAAAAAAAATGCTTTGAAATAAACATTGATATTATCCCATAAAAATTATAAAACAATAAAATAAATGTTCGGACAAGCCTATGTATAGGTTTTATATCGCAATCATCACTGTGTACATGAGCATCGTCCAGCAGGGCACTGAACAGTGCGACTACCATCTCTCATGTTCTTTTGTCCTCTCCCAGGGGAAGAAGTGTGTG